GTTGACGATATTCTTTTAAATATGCGTGTAAAAAGTGTGTTTCATTTCATAATAATCGTGGTTCGTACGGTAGTTTGGTTCGCGCTTTTTATTAGAAAACTCGCATTAATTTCAGAGTGCATGGTGAACGTACACAAACTGGTTTGCATCCTTTCTATTCTGTCATTTACTCGGGATGAACCCCGATGTTGCAATACTGAAGTAATCCATATTTCTTTGAGTAATAGCTTTCAAAAAGCCAAAAATGTGATCGTTAAGTTGTGTAACTGGTCATTGGACACGGTTTTACTTAATCGTTTACTTTGAGACCATCATGAAAGGGGTGTGAACGATGTGACCTCAGGGTGTTGGCGACCATGAAAGGGGTTTAAATACTTCCTCCACACTCAGTTTACCCATGGTTACTATTAACCGTGGTTTACCTTTCGGAAATTAGTTTTTAGAAAAAATCAGTGCTGCAGATCGCATTTTAACATTGAGGTAATTCACTTCCGCATTGCGTTAAAAAAAAATATTGTCAATAATCAATTTTGATTGGTTAATGAAATACATGACCTGTTAGGTCAAAGAAAGTTGTTTCAGGTCAAATCGTGCTGAAAAACTTCATGGTGGAAATTGCTTTGCATCGAGAATTTGCCTACGATCGAAAACATACCAAATTGAATATATTGTGATAAAGATCTTGCCAGCCTTCAACTGTTTCCTCACGGACTCTACCCATTATTACACCATAAATTCAGACGATATGTAAATCGTATTGGAATAAAATGTACATGTTTTTTTCATGAAAATGTTTGTTTCTTCATTGTAAAAGTGTTGTGGAAATCAATGACGCATTTTTTCTTGGAGAATTAAAGATGTAGTTTGGATAATTTTTTGTTGTTGGCAAGATGTTTACAATGTTTAACCCAAAAAACAAAATCATCTTTTCTGAGGTGGTCCTTGAGTATAAGTCCATTCCTTACTTTTTCTCACTTTTACATGTACATGCCTCCAGGCTTATGATCAGGGAAGTACAGTAGACTGTGAACTTAGCGAAGATTCAGATCAGTCCAGTGTGAGTGACGAGAGTCTATCTGACGTCGACGATGCCCCTTGTTCGGATGATAGTTTTATTTCAAATTACACGGAAGTCTGTGAACAATCTGTTTGGTGTTCCTGTGACACTTGTCCCATGATTTGCCAGTGCAGCCCCGTGAATACATGGACGAAAATGTTTCCACAACCACCCTACGAACTCAAGATTGCATACTCGAGCAATCCAGACTCTAAAATAATTTGCATGCATGGAGCAGTACTGGAAACAGCATTTATTAGACAGTTGGACAGAAAAAGAAAACAAAATGCCTGTCTCAATCATTTGCCCATCTATAATATTTGCATGTTGATACGCTTGTAAATAACATTAATGTAAAAGTCGAAACTCCCTAGGCTGGAAATTAATTCATTAATCCAGCCAACTATGGCTCCCTAAGTTGTTTATAAATAATCAGATACTACATTGTATTTCATAATCATGCTTTGTTTTCTTTCCTGTTTATACCTCATGAGGGCGTTTTTTTATGGCAACACTGAATTAGGCTCTAGTTCCCCTTAAAACATTTATAGTAATTTGGGAGATTTCTTACAAACTCTATATACCAATAATTATATTTACACAAAATTTCTAGAGTGAAAATTGAAACTTAAAAATTGTAAATCACAAATTTTAGAAAACTAGAAATAAGGTAATTAATATACAATAATGTTTCGTAGTATAATTTATGTCATTTTGTATATACATGTATGTATTTTTTATTTCAGAATGGCTGCTCAGTGAGAATGTTGAATCCTCAAACCTACAGTAAATCTATGTGGAAACTAAATTCCACATTACAAGAATATTTTGGAGCTGTGTTGGTGCTAATATGTAAATATGTAATTTTCACATCCTTCTGTGCCTCATTTGCATGCATCTTGTTCCATGACCTCAACAAGTTGTGCTGTAAATTTCATTATTGACTGTAAAATACTTAATTTTTGCTTGTAATTTATTTTCGCTGAAGGGATGATTCAGTGAAAATAAAATCCAGCGAAATATACCAGTACCTTTTTTCCTACGTTTTACATTCAACTCGCCAAAAATCAGTGAAAATAAACTCCATACAAAACACCAAAAAAGTTTTTTCAGAGAAAAAATAATTCCAGCTAAAATAACTTTACACCTTTACACTTATACTGTAAAATGACTAATTTTCCCTGGGTTTAAATTTCGCTGAATAACCATTTCAGGCATATTCAGTGGGTTTTAAATTCACGGTTTTATCATTTAGATAATGTGTTCTATGCCAACTTTTACATATTCACTGGGTTTTAATTTAGCGCATTTTCCAGTCAGCGAAATAAACGAAATTAAAATCCAGTGAATAATTAACCCCTTTACAGTAGTTGCACTCTGAAGACGTTTAGGGAACTATTATTGACGTATTGTTCGTTTCAATTTACACAGATTGGGGGAAACATAAATTTCAATGCTTTTCAGCAAGTTCAATTGTAGGCAACCACTTCAGTTTCCCATTTGATTGTTTATTCTAATTTTTTTTTTCTAACATGACACTTTTGACTTTTGTGTTCCAATGCACCTGGATTTTCTCTCCTGTCGCAGTTATTCAAATCACAGCAGAATCCGAGCAAATTCTCATTTTTTTTATCAATTTCAGACCACATAATATAAATGCTCCTCGCATGCAACAAAATTAATAGTTGATTTGACGTTTCTATAGAAAATAATCAAGTTGAAGAATCATTTCTGCAATAAATAACTATATTCTCCAACAAACACTTGATATATATATACAGCACCCTCTATAGAAAGCACAAGCAAGTTACTAAATGTTATCATAATATGGTTTCTGTTAACAGTTATTTAACTCCGCCGGAACTCAAGGTTTTGCACCCCATTATGATGACATAGAAGCATTTGTACTTCAACTTGAAGGCAAAAAACATTGGAAGTTGTACAGTCCAAGAACAGAAGATGAAACACTGCCAAAATATTCTAGTGGTAAAAAAACATTTTGTGTCACAACTATTTAATTCAAATTTGTTTCTTATATTGCTACTTTCTTGGCATATGTTTACTCTAGTTTAGCATGTCAAAAAGACTTCAGTTGCAGAAAAATATCACATTCCTTTTAAAATTGAAATTATAATTTCTTTTTTTAATGATTGTATTATTCATATTCTAACTGTGTTGTGCATTTATATATTTAAGATAATTTTAAAGAAGAAGATGTGGGAGATCCGATATTGGATGTTGAATTAGAAGCAGGTGATCTTCTTTATTTTCCTCGAGGGACAATACACCAGGTAATAAAACAGAATTGATGTGAATTATATGCTCATCAGTGTGTCTGAAATCTGGTTAGATTTCTGTGAGAATCGAAATAATCCAAAATAGTTCTTTTCAGATTTCTTAACTTTTTCTCATGAATATTTATTCTCATTTGTTGTGAAATCTTTGAATCCACACTCGTTGCTGCAAATAGTTAATTCGTTGTTTTGTTTTACTACAGGCTGAAACGAGTGGGGATACACATTCATTGCATATTACGGTTTCAACATGTCAAAAGAATACCTGGGGAGATTTAATGGAAAAGTTAGTACCGCGAGCTTTGGAATTGGCGTTCAATGAAGACATAGAATTCCGGCAGTCTTTGCCCAGAAACTATCAGAGTTACATGGGAGTTGTTAACAGTGATAATGTGAGTGTTACATGCTATGATAATATTCTACTTTGGTGACTACTTGTATGTTTCATTACAGTAACCAATAGATTTCTATTGTTACAATAACAATGTTTTCTCATAGGATGATCCTAAACGTGTGGCATTTTTGAATAAGATTGGTCAGCTGATGATGAAATTAGTGTCCCATTCACCCGTGGATGCTGCAGTGGATCAGATGTCAGTGGGATTC